CAGACACCCCTGAGATAGAGATGCCGAGCGAGACTTTATTGCCCATACAGACCTCTTGTGGAGAATTTTGACCTGCATTAATGTACAGTGTACAAGTCATGAAGTTAGATATAAACTATGTTTGTAATGCAAGCTCTATGTTATGGTTATTTCTGTTGACCGTTCAGATGACATAAAATACACCGTAGATCAGAAAATTGTGTTGTATCCAACCTGTGTTGATCAAATATAAATCAAATATATCAAAACATAAACTAAAGATAAACAAATGCCAGCATTTTATTTAATTTAAGTTTTTAATGACACTGATCTATTTTCCCCCGAGGAGATATTTTGGACTCGACTGTAGCCATTTTGTCAAGTATACAATATGTCAGGCGTGTGGTTGGGGTTTGTAGAAGACGGGCCACACATTTCAACATTGGAAGTATGTGTTTAACCTGACGCTACTGGAGCGAAAGCCTACACAGTTTAGGTGACTAAAACAGTTGACGGGAGATGCTTGGACTACGTGCAATAGGAGGCGTACAGCGTATGGCCGTGGGCTGAATCTATGTTTGTTTTATGAAAAATAGTTTGATTATCCTTTCCAGATACAAAATGTTTTGGAAGTATTGTGCCAGACAGTACGTTTATATACACATCAGTTCGGTTAGAGATAGGGCAAATATATCGTACACAAAATAAATATTGGTTTGTTTTATTCAAGCAAATAATAGACAATAATATGTTTGCACATTATAAATAGCTCTGGGTGATAAATGACTGATCGAGCCGGTATTCTGGAAGCTGAGCGAAAAAAATATTTAAAAAGCATAGGTGACAGCTGGGATACAATGGATAAAAATTCACAAACGAGTCGAGACAAAGGTCAATTTAAATTCTGTATTAGTATGGGTGTTGTTTCTTAACTATATTATAAATGATAGTAAAAATCTTAGTAACGGAGATCACTGGATTGTCTGGTCCAGACTCAATTATTTACAGATAACGCCATATAGCTGGAATATTGCTGAGTGCGGCGTAAAACTAAAGTCACCCACTTAGTAAGTGAAAATACTAACGTATGACAATATGACAATAAACATTTCACTCTCATCCTTCAGAAACTAAGATAATTATATATTGTTTCAAGGTAACATTCACGAATATCTGAAAACAGATCCTGGTTGCACAATTTATGACACGTTAATTACTTCTAAACCACTGACCCTTAAAATGAAATATACTCATGGAACACTTGAAAGTACAGGATATGTATTGCACTGTGAGCGAAATTCTGGAAATGAATACATGTAAATGAACACTTGTATTTCATGTGTTCCCTTATTCGTTTCCATGAGTTTAATAAACCCCTACTCGTACACTTTGTAAGTTGTTGAATTACATAGCAATGTGAAGTCGCTGTAAACTGACAAATGTTTTAGATTGTCTCGCCGATGTAACAGCCAAACTTTAAGTGATGCATTTTAAAATATTCCTCTTTTTTATCCACGTTACTTTCTTATCCGTGTTCCGAGTATGACCATGCACAATTATCCACAATAGGGAATTGTTTTTCACATTGTGATACTGCACAAGGACAATACATGTGTACTTGTTGGTTTAAGTATACAAGACGGATTTCTCAGGTAGATTATAATATGTTTGTAGTTTTTGATTGCATAACTAGAACCGTCAAATTCGATATACGACGACATATGAACGAATGTTGATTCTATACAAATAAGAAGGCTGTTTGCCATTGTTGTTACAGTTCAAGTAATGAGGTATCTGTTTCGAAAATTAAAATGAATCAATAACGTCAACAATATGTTTTAATTTTGTGTTTATACAGATAAAACATTTCTGCATTACATGTTTCATACAGTTTGGTTTCTTTTGACAGAGTGATTTCTGTTTGTATGTATTGCCTGGGCATTCCGTTGAAACTATTGTGCAGACAATATATGTGCTTTTTTCATCTTGTCCTCTGACTGAAATATTTTTCTCTTTTTCAAAACTAATGCTAAATTATCCTTGAAAAGATGAATAGTCTGTCCGATAATTTGCTATGATCGGTATGTTTCTGTGATAGTTTGGCGTATTTACTGATGTCATGCGTGCAGAATATGTTCAAATGTAGACATCATCCGGTGGTTGGAAAATATGGGAATATTAATTCATCTTACATCAAATTTAAATGCATTTTGTTGAATCATCGCGTCAGGCTCGAACAGATATTGACACCATAGCCACACTGAGTGATCGAATAAATGGTTTCACCCTTTACTAGAGAAACGTTTTTATCTTACATCCTTTGGGTCAAGAACAGCGAGAGTCTGATGTCTGGAATTCAAACGGACACCTTCTTTAAAAACACACGTAACAGCTGTTGATGAAAGAACAGCAAAATGTTTGGAATAACAAAACACTAGTATTATTCAACAGATTAAACAGCTCATCACCTCTGCAGATTCCCTAGGAACAAACTGTGAAGCGTCTAATATCTACGCGCTCTGTTGACGTCACGTGGGCTGTGGCGTCATTTGAAGGAAAGTTAGATCGACATGTTACAGATGTGTGAGGTGTTCGTGGTTTATTTTCCGTTACGCGGGTACGCCCTCTGTTCGTCTGAGTAAATAAAATTCATCCTCGCACTCTGCCAAAATGTTTTTTCGGTGTATCAACGTCTGTAAATAGGCCTAATGAGTTTGACTGTGAATGTTTAAGCGACATTTGAATGAAAGAGGAAGAAATGACAGACGCATGTTGGTTACCCGATTCTTAGGCTTGGAGAGCGAGTAAAAGGTAAGCTGCACCCGAACCCACTACTTGGTTGCTAATTACTTATGCCTACTGTATTTTTTCCTCTTGGCAAATACATTGTGTACGAGCTGAATCGAGTAAGCGTGTGGCTTTGTGTGAATAAGGTGAAGATCCAGGATTCAGTGATCCAGAATTGGGGAAAGTCAAAACTGGTCAAACTGGTCCATTATTAGACTAACGCTTAGTCTCTGAATATGTGTAATTTTGATAGTAACAAATAGACCCATCTATATTGAAAAGAAGCCCCATTGAGTTGGGAGATTCTTTAACCAGGGGAGATCTAGACTTACTTCATTTAGAGCTTTAGCATTGCAAGGAGGGCTAGGCAGAAGGGAAACTAATGGTTGAGGGGCTGTGAGACAGACTCGTCCATCATCTGACTGGCGGTTTGAAATATTGGTCCTGCAGCCACCAAACATAAATGAAGTCTGAAAATTTATGGAATTCAACTTCTGCAATGTGACAGAGATATACACCGAAACGTCGTGCCCCTGCTATGACTGAAGTTGACACCCATACATTCTACCCATTTTTGTGTATCACTTCAAAATGCCATTAAAAGACTTCAACTATGTGTCGCAGTAAAAAAATATAATAAGATTTACTTTGGCTTTACAACAGTTTTAAGTGTTTGTGTCAAAAACCAAGCCACTGACATTGAACTTTATATCCAGTTTAATTGTCGGAAACACATAGTTTCTGTAATGCGATATGACATGTTGAGGGTATTGATAATGATAAGTAGTCTTTGCGCGACAATAACGCTCTGTGAACGTTTTAAGAGACGAAGTGTTTATTAAAACGCTTTGGTTTTCTGCACATCCTTCTCACGGAATAAGAAAACTGTTTGCCAACACCATACCCGTGCTCGTACGGTCAACAATCGTTTAAGAGCTGCATCACTTCGCGCCATCCTTCCACAGTATGCTGCCACGAGGTAGCTGGAGTTAACCGTGTCATGAAAACACTCACGTATAAATATACTCACAGTAACGAATAAGGGAACAATTGAAAGTACAAGTGTTCCTTTATTTATTTCCTGAATTTCACTCACAGTGCACTAGATACCTTGTGAAGAAACCTGGAAAGGAATAAAGGAACGCTTGTACTTTCATGTGTTCCCGTATTCGTTTCCATGAGTATAAAATGAATAAAGGCAAACGTAACCGTCATTATGAGGCCATTGTCTCATGTGAATCAAGCTGGCACTGTATAATGCAAATATGCATATATCTTAAACACACGCAGGGCTTGGCAGCAGGTATAATAATATGCTGCATAACATCTATATACGTGTTGTTTTAAATGTTGACGTTATCAAGCTTATTGTGCCTTTCGATTGTACAATATTTACCTGTGTCTATTTGTATGTGTGTATACACAACGTGCACATCGGGGATTGTTTGTCTACACAATATCTTACATTAAATAGGGCTTACTGAGGCCGTTTAGGTTTGTCTTATGGACATGAAATATTGGTTATAATCTGTTACTTCACGGCACAGCATCTGTGTCTTTGCAATTGCAGAAACTTTGCTCACAAAATGAATAAAAAATTGTATACTTTTTTAAACATACTTGATGTAGTTCATTGGTATCTGTAGCAGGTGGTCATGTGGTAAAGAGCTTCCACTGCTTTCTAATTTGTTCCTTAGTTTTAATGCAATGACTTATTTTGAAGGCCCGTGGTTTGGCGGGTACCCCTCATTCCGAACGCCACCTGAAGTTAGTGTGGCAAATAGTCACTGTAGCTTTGGTCATCTGTTTTATTCCTGCAGGTACGGGGTTGCCAGAGAGATACCCTTCTCCATCATTATGTACTACTCCTTGGTCTGCGTGCCTGCGTGCATATGTTAAAGTGACATTCTTAGGTCCTTAACTGATGTTTGTTACTATCATACTTCCAAGACGTTATTTCAGATTGTTAAGTCAGTTTAAGAGCCACCACTTCACTGCATGACAATGATGGCGACCAAATACTTGTATGCCTGTATTATATTTGCATAAGGTAATGTGCAATCCTTAGAATGACAGAGATGCATCTGTTACCTCTTTTACAGGGTGTTACAAACTGTTGACTGGGGAAACTATGCTAATTCCATTTCTCTTGAGAATAAGCGTTACAAACTTCAAAGCATAAGTATTACAATCGTGGGCAACTCTTCTAGATTTGTTCAGTTAAGAAGTAAAACATGGATATTGAAGAGGTTTCTTCGCTACGAGAGACAACCGAGAACCTCATCTGTAAACACCTGTGCTAATTTACAATCAATTATAGACAGGATCAAGCAATACGCCAAACTGACTTTCCTGCTAACACCAACAAGGGCAGTGTTTGACTGTCACCCCGCCGTGCCCCTTGTCAACAGTAATGTCTTTGCTTTAATGCTTTACTTGTTAATGAACAGATTGTTGCCATGTTTCACCAGTTGTCGGTGGCTGTATGCGAAACGAAAACATCAGCCGCTTGTTACAAGAAATGCATGTTATTTATTTCATGGTATTTTCAAATAGATAGTTGTGATTTGTGATAAAATGACATTCCGAATTTGTGTGGTTTTTTTTGTACAAATTAACCTGTTAAAAAACTTACCTATTTTAGACTTTAACAGATATTCAGACATAAACTTCGTCTGTTTTAATTTGATCACACGTAAAGCAAGTGGTGTTTCATAAATAAAATAAATCATGTTTTGTCCACTGACACAAATAAAGCAAGTGGTGTCATGTTTTGTCCACTGACACAAATAAAGCAAGTGGTGTTTCATGCATTATAAAAAACATGTTTTGTCCACTGACACACGTAAAGCAAGTGGTGTTTGATAATTATATAAAACATGTTTTGTCCACTGACACAAATAAAGCAAGTGGTGTTTCATAAATTATATAAAACATGTTTTGTCCACTGACACAAATAAAGCAAGTGGTGTTTGATAAATTATATAAAACATGTTTTGTCCACTGACACACGTAAAGTTTTGTCCAAGTGACACAAATAAAGTGGTGTTTGATAAATTACATAAAACATGTTTTGTCCACTGACACAAATAAAGCAAGTGGTGTTTGATAAATTATATAAAACATGTTTTGTCCACTGACACAAATAAAGCAAGTGGTGTTTGATACATTATATAAAACATGTTTTGTCCACTGACACAAATAAAGCAAGTGGTGTTTGATAAATTATATAAAACATGTTTTGTCCACTGACACAAATAAACGTGGTGTTTGATAATTATATAAAACATCCACTGACCAAATAAAGCAAGTGGTGTTTGATAAATTGACATATTTCATAACATTATATAAAACATGTTTTGTCCACTGACACAAATAAAGCAAGTGGTGTTTGATAAATTATTAAAATATAAACAAATGACATTCCGTCCACTGACACAAATAAAGCAAGTGGTGTTTGATAAATTATATACAACATGTTTTGTCCACTAAACAAATAAAGCAAGTGGTGTTTGATAAATTATATAAAACATGTTTTGTCCACTGACACAAATAAAGCAAGTGGTGTTTGATAAATTATATAAAAACATAAACTTGTTTTTTGTCCACTGACACAAATAGAGCAAGTGGTGTTTGATAAATTATATATAATATGTTTTGTCCACTGACACAAATAAAGCAAGTGGTGTTTGATAAATTATATAAAACATGTTTTGTCCACTGACACAAATAAAGCAAGTGGTGTTTGATAAATTATATAAAACATGTTTTGTCCACTGACACAAATAAAGCAAGTGGTGTTTCCTACTTTTTCTAAGCTATTCTTATTATTACTTAATGGGTTTACGGAGACAGGTAATTTCACGATATGCATCTTCATTGAGATGTTCTCAATGCGAATCAAAATGTTGTTTGACCATATTTCGTTTGTTTTCAGTGCCTGTCGTATCCATGTTGGTTCCAGGGCGACTCCTGTGTTTAGCATACGCGTTCCTGTGGGGATGGGTGGCATCAGGTATGCTACTCCTCGGATAATACGTTTTGTCTGATGAATTAAGAAGCATATATTTTAAGTGAAACATAGTTTTTGTTACAAACACGAAATCCGTTAGCGACATTTATGAAATTTTACGCTCACACTGGAAGAAAGAAATACTTTTGGTTTTGTTAAACTAATAACAAAGAAATTAGATAATGCATGCATATTAAAGCGAATGGTAAGCTAAAATTTAATTCTCTATGATAGATAATTGCGCCCCACCTAGAGTTTATTTTCATCTCGGTTTGTTGCTTAGGTAGCAGCACAAAGGCTGCGATCTATTGTTTCACCTACGCATTGGATCTTCATCGATATTGGCTTTTTCCATATTAAATCGTACGGCCAATATATGATTCTGTTAGCGGCAGTGTCTCAAAATCATCTACTTGAGCTTCCGAATTTAAGTTCTTTGCTCTTTGTTGCATCGGACCTTTGTATTTTGGATAAAAAGACAATGAAGGAAGCCGCGCTATGGTGTCTGTAGTCAAAGATGCATTGCTGTTATTACTGAATCTTGTTTCATGAGATATGCATAACAAATTCTTATTTTTTTCCAGCATCCTCGTTCAAGAGAGTTTGCTACTTCACAAACTGGTCCGGGGACCTTCTTATCCCTGAGGCCTATTTCAAGCTGGAGGACATTGATCCCAGACTGTGTTCACATCTAATATATGCATTCGCCAAAATCAACACGGAAACCCTCGAGCTTCTTCCTACGAGGCCCGACGACGAAGGTGAAGATGGAGAACTGGGACGTTATGTACTGTTCAACAACTTGAAGAAAGACCATCCCGGCTTGGTGACCCTGTTGTCTGTCGGGGGGTCGCTGCAGGCCAATACAGGGTTCGGTAAAGTCGTGGAATCGATGGAAAAGAGGCGGAAATTTGCCAATAACTGTGTGGCGTTCTTGAGACTATGGGGCTTCGATGGGTTGGACGTCGACTGGGAATACCCAGGAAATCCCCCCGAAACTAGAACAAATTTTACAATGCTGTTGTTGGTAGGTTGACATTTTTCTTGAGATTACCCCAACTGTTTGTAGTTTGTAGGCAATCTTTGAAGACGTCTTATGACGCAGTTATTTCTGGAGAGGGCGATACCGGACGTAACAATCAAATTAGAGATTTCAGTTCATGACGAGATACTGGATGTATATCTCTGGTAGATTCGAATTCGCTATCAAGCATTTTACTAAATATGCTAAAACTAAATCAGCAGCGATCTTACTAACACGTATATATTTACTTCCTCCGCTGCAACATTATCCCCATGATTACCAATAACATGTCAAAATAAGTTAAAATAAGTCAAAATAAGCTTAAATGCTTGATGAATGTTTTCAATTAAGTGGTCAATACCTAAAATGACACGGGAATATGTATCGATATTCAGGTTTGACCCGGTGTATAAACATGGATCAGATTGTAAATGATACACTCTTTCATTTATGTAAGCACCCATGGCCCCTCGTATGTTGATATACCCGCAGTTGCTGACGATCTATGCCCGGTTTGTATTGTATTGTCCTTAACAGTGACATAATTTACAAGTTAGTGCTAGTTTGGAATTCTATTTCTGGGATATTCTAGTTGATTTTACTGTCCTTTGTCGATGGATATTATAATTTAACTTTATTGATCATGAATGTATGACTTGTTGAAATAAAGCCGATGTGATAATAAATTTTAATCACTCACTCATTCACTAGGGTTTGTGTAGATGTGAGTTTGAATTTACCAATGCCCCGCTTCTGTGGTTTATGACAGGAACTCCGAACTGTCTTCGAAGAAGAGTCCGAGGCGACTGGCAGAAAGCGGTTGTTGCTGTCGATGGCCGCCCCAGTGAGCGAGGACCTCATTACTCAGGGATATGAGATTAGCAAGGTGTCGAGGTCAGTACCGCTTTAAACCCCTGTCTCTGCGCTATATGCCTAAACACAGTGACGGACGCTGTCGTGTTCTAGCAATGTCACCTTAAATCAGCATACAACTATATGTATTCCGTGGACTCAAATTGTACAGATTTAGGTATACTTCTAGGTATAATCATTGGACCATAAATCTGCTCGTGAACATGTCGAGGCGTAAGGATTTTTCCATTCCTGAGCGACGGTTTATGTACACTTTGTACCCAGTAACAATAACTGACGTGTAAATCAATCCAGTGACACTCGCAGTAACAATTTTGTGAAAGTTCATAGCTAACAGTACTGAATATGCTGTATTTGTACGCCGTCTGTATGTGAAACCTCTTTATAACGACAATACGGTATGTATGTATGATAAATTATGATACTTAATATTGCAAAGCTCATACATGGTGAAGTCTTGAAAATTACCCTTAAATAAATATTCACGTCAACGTCCAGAAAGTGTCACGTTCGGATTAACAAGGTGTAAATTAAGAGTAACTTTTTCACAGACTAGTTGACTTCATCAACCTGATGGCGTACGACTTCCACGGCGCCTGGAACCACATCAGCGGCTTCAACGCCCCTCTGTACTCACGGAAAGGGGACTGGCAGTTCATGCCCGACCTCAATGTGGTACGTTGCGCATATGTTCATGGGTTTAATCGAAATAGGCCCTCATCATGTCTCTAGGTTTGCAACACCGTAGCAGTTCTCTTTAGTTTCACCCAAATGGTGAACGTCGATGACTTGAGACCCTTGAAGATCCGGTTACAATTAGTCTTCAGCAACCAACGCTTGTCGTAAGCGGCGACTAACGGGATCGGGTGGTGAGGTTCGATGACTTAGTTGCCACATCGAGGCTCATGCTGTTGATCCCTGGATTGTCTGGTCCAGACTTGATTTTTCACAAACAACCGCTATATACATGTAGTTGGGAAATTGATGAGTATAGCGTGAAACAATAAACAAACAAACAGACAAACAGACAAACAAACGATTAATGATGAACTGAAACCAGGAATCCACTCACTAATATGGTGATTTTAGCCAGGACCCACCAGTTTGACATGGTTGACAACTTGATAGAAATGACTATGTCATAGAATTAGAAAAGATATGTGAGCTAATTTTATTCTGATAGACCAGATTTCATTTTTCAACACTTGATGTTGAAACATTTCTCAATACGTCAGCTGTAATGTATGTTCCAAACCAGTATTCCAAAAGATGGCATGTAGGTTTCCTTGTCGTTTCTTGACGGATGGTACTTCCACGAAACTGAAGTCGGAAACCATGACGCAAGATATCATTACACATTTCAAGGTCGAACGTGTTTTTCAGTCTTTTCATACAAATCAGCTAAGAGTATCAACTAATGGTCTTCGGATGTAGTTAAAAGATGCTTGAGTATCACGCAGTATTTACTTTCTGCATTTAAAGAATTATCAGAATTAAAGAGCATCAGTAAATGTTCCCTACTTTCTAGTTAAAGCTAGGGCGGTGGGGTAGCCTAGTGGTTAAGCGTTCGCTCGTCACGCCGAAGGCCCGGGTTCGATTCCCCACATGGGTACAATATGTGAAACCCAATTCTGGTGTCCCCCGCCGTGAAATTGCTGGAATATTGCTCAAAGCGGCGTAAAACTAAACTCACTCACTCACTCTAGTTAAAGATTGCATTGCTTGCGTACCAGGCAATGTTTTTATTCCTAGTTGAAGAGTGTTGTAGAATCAGTAAGTGTTCATTGAAACAAATACCAGATCAGTACTTGAGTGCATTTCCAGACAATGCAAGTTACTCCAGTTAGCAGGCCATGTATGTCAACCATATTACGCCATGCAGTTCATGTTTGTTAACACGATATAGGAATGGGCCGTTGACACTTGGATCAAACGGGGTGCACCTGCCGAGAAGATAGTTGTTGGAATAGCCGGCTATGGAGCCTCATATACACTAGCCGACGCGTCGAGTAATGGTGTCGGAGCCGAGGTGTCGGGACCGGGAAAACCGGGCCCCTACAGAGTGATGGAGGGGCAGCTGGCGTTCTATGAGGTGACGTGTGATATACAGCTGCATGTTACGTCAGTAATGATACGTTAATTAATTAAATTGTGTCTTAAAACAGGAGCGTCGCACGATTCATACAAATGAACTCAATCACGCCTGCTAACATATAGGTAACCAACTATTTGAAGGGTTTGGGATCGAACATCGTTGTTAGATGGTGAAATCAGTGGTCTTTCCTTTGCTACATGTTTTGTTTGTGCTTGTGTTTGTGACGGGTGCCACAGGATACACGCGCCGGTTCGCGAATTTTTGCCAACGTCGCTTTTGTCAACAAAACCTGACAATGCGGGATTAAACTATTATTCTCTTTCGCTAATTTGTAAAGGTCACGTACAACCAGAGAGTAATTCGATTGGAGGTAGGTTTAGGTTTTGAAGACGATATAAATTCATATGTTTCTAACATGTCCACTGTTTTTGATTTAGGTGTGTGAGATGCTCGATAAGGGAGAAGCTAGCTACGCCTGGGACGACCTTCAGAAAGTGCCATACATCTACAACAACGACACCTGGGTCGGATATGATGACGAGAGAAGTGTTGCCGTCAAGGCGAGTGTTTACCTCCTACTCTCTTACTGATACTATCGCACTTTCACCGGTTCTACTATGAATAGTTATGACAAACGTGTAATGATTATGTGGTGTTTATTTACTCTTGTCATATTGAGAATATTAGTTCGTTGTTTTCATTTTTCTTACTTTTTAACAGTTACTGTTATATTTTGCTTGTTCGGTTTCTGTAACCATTACAACAACACAACAAGAAACAATCGTTATAATAGTCGTATTTTTTAGATATAATAACTACATTTCAAATTATTTCATCCATTTTGTTGTAAGTTTCATTTGAGTTTACGAGTTACTAGCGACAAACGGTTGGCACGGTCACTGAAATATTTCACAAACGTATATTGTGTGAGATTATTGTATTAGTGCCGAGACACAGGTCGACCTGGCATGACTTCACAAGTGACGGGACGGCTTATCGACAGTCTGTTACATCACTGTAGGTTGTCATAAATACCCGCGAGTTAAACTGTTGGTAAATACTGGACGTTTAACAACACACCCTGTCCCTGTGTTACAGGAAGGTGATATTAACCACCCTGCCATGGGAACTAAATAGCTCATTCTCATTTAGTGTATAAACTCTCACAGTGTATTAAGCAATGTTTCACCTAAATATATTTCACAAATGCATACGAAATTCCACGTCACAAATGAGGAATCCCATAACCTCCATCGGTCATTATTCACAAAAATTAATGTGTTTCATAGTGTCAATAATAAAATAATTAATAATCATTTGAACCCTAAGAAATCATAGCTCTGTCCATATAATGTCAGCATGAGTGATATATTTTACTGCGTTCATCATCGTATTGTCCTTGAGTATAAATTCAACAAGGACAAAGTATACAGACGACAAATTCAATTTTATAGACTAAAATATATTGTTGAAAGACACGACGACAAATTCAATGGTTAACACCCAGTTGGTTGTACATACATTGCCTTGAAAATCAGCTTGGATCAAATAAGCTACGAGTTTATACGAAGGAATCTAAAACCGGTATTTTGGGCTGTTATTAGCCTTACATATAAGATAACTTTTAATAATATTAATAATGTCGTTTTCTATAAATCCAAAACACGCAAGTATATTGAGATATAGAAATAAATCTTTTCCTTATTAATGCATACACATATCAATTTCTGATCTGACGTCGTGCCCAAAAGATACATAATCATACCTCGCCTTTAATTATATACTGAGGGAAAAAATAAGGGATCACATGAAAGGACAAGTATTCCTTGAGTTTGTTCCAGGTTTCTTCACAAGCTTTGTGTCGCATAGCTTGTTAAGAAACCTGGAAAAAAATAAGGGAACACTTGTGCTTTCATGGGATCCCTTATTTTTTTCCCTCAGTATATTTCAGCTGGAGACCAGTACACTTTCTTCAAGCTGACCTAGAGTTCGGATCTCCTTTAAACAAATAACGGTCTTGACCGTGACTGGTGACCCCGTTGGTCAGTTACAAGCTTCTGACGCGAATGTCAACACGGCCTTGTTTACTGTGCTTCTATACAGCACGGGCCTCGTTTCAAAGATGTACCATGTCTCTCCAAACGGTCGTGCAATCAGATTCACATTTATTCCTAATTCATCCAGATAAATTTATCTTCCGTGCATAGGTCTTTTTCAATTGGAGACGAACTGAATTACTGAGATATGTTCTTGTTGTATTTGGCCTGACAATATACAATCTCTGCTCAGAGTTGTCTCCTTAAAGGGCAAGTTTACCCGAGTTGCATTAAAGAAATCGTGGGTTCGAATCCAACATCAAACTGATGGTAACCACCAAACACCGTTGTCCGTTGGTTTTACTATAGCCTCTTAAACCTGCGACCCGTGATGATACGGGTTAGAACTGATCTTCAGTAACCCATTCTTGTCGAAAGAGGCGACTAACGGGATCGGGTGGTCAGGCTCGCTGACTTGCTTATCGTTTTCCCAATTGCGTAGATCGATGCTCATGCTGTTGATCACTGGATTGTCTGGTCCAGACTCGATTATTTACAGACCGTCGCCATATGGCTGGACTATTGCTGAGTACGGCGTAAAGCTAAACTCACTCACTCACTCACTCACTCACTCAAACCTGCATTCTTCCGTCCTACATGAAGCTGACGCGCCGTGATATAATGCTTCGCACTGAAGTTGCATGACATGTCACTGAAACTGGCCTTCGAGCTATTGGACAGATATTGACTGATTAGAATATATTTTAACCAGGGATTCCATCGGAACGTTAGTCAGACTATTGCAATTAGATCCATGCTCCGCTGGTCGTGGCTTCGAATGACCCACAGATTCCTCCGATTATGAGCCTTGGCCGATCAGAAATACTGTCCTCGCGGGATTTACTATCGTGGAAAACATAAATGGTTTGTCTCCGGTGAAGTAATCTCATGCACTGAAATTTTGTTTAAACACATTTAACCAGCTTACTCGGTCACGTCTCACACTAAATGCTTTGTACTCCTTTCAGACTGAGTGGATGATTCAGAAGAACATGGGTGGCGTGATGCTGTGGTCCCTTGACTTGGATGACTTCAAAGGAACATATTGTAAAAAGGGAAAGTTTCCCTTGCTTACTTCAATTGTGAAAACCGTTGCCAGATACTTTGATGACATCACAGTCCCACCACCAAGAACCACACCCACTACAACGACAACAACTACTACGACAACGACAAAACCCCAACAACGACCACAACTACAACGTCGACGACAACACCTACCCCTACTACTACTACCTCTACGACAACAAGCACCACAACGCAAACGACAACGGTTGCAAAGAGTACGCCAAGTAAGACTACTACTATTTCCCAATCAGCCACGAAGCGGAGTGGGCGTCCAGTTACAACGACCGCTTCAACACGGGGCAACGACGTTCTCACAACTTCACGACAGCCACGCACCTCCACTGACAGCTGGGACGTCAACGACATTCCTAAATGGGTACGCACAGATGCAGGCGTCGACAACAACGACAACAATGATATTGGTAACATCGGGAAAGAGCAGGAGGGTGATACAGATGGCAATGCTATTGTCGATGATGTTGGGAATGCCGCCGCTAGTGGCGACATCGGTGCGGACAACAATGCTGGCATAACTGCAGCAAGTGGCGGTATTGGTTATTGTTTTCGGTATATATTTGCATTTTTCATTACAGTTGTCTTTAAATGTGTATGGTAAAGGTGACACTCGTATATTGCCAAATAAAATATTTTGTATAGAAATTAGTTGTGTTCTATGTTTGTTTGTTAGTTTGGTGTTATACGGCACACACAGACATATTTGGACTAGACAATCGAGTGATCAACAGCATGAGCATCGATCTAAGCAAATACGAGGACATGCGTCAACCAAGTCAGCGAGCCTGACCACCCGATCCCGTTATTCGCCTCTTACGACAAGTATGGATTGCTGAACACCAATTCTAACCCGAATCTTTATGGGTGAAATAACTGTGCTGTATAAGGTACCTGCATTATCTCTGTTTACTTGTTTCCCCTGGAATACAACAACATAATCTGTTGTATCATACCTCTGTGAATCACCCGCGGATACACCAGACAAACGTGTCTATTTTATAACCTCTACGTTTGTGTTTGTTGTTTTACGCCGCACTCAGCAATGGACCAGACAAACCAGTGATCAACATCACGAGCATCGATCTATACAAATGGGATACGATGACATGTGTCAATCAGTCAGCGAGCCTGACCACCCGATCCCGTTAGTCGACTCCTCCGTGAAGCATGGGTTGCTTCACGGGTCTATAACCTCTACGAAATTCAGGCGCCTGTAGGCTAGACCATCATGTCCCGTTTCCTGAACATCTTCTGTCATGGTAACATTACTCATACTAGTGTAATGTTAGTCCTGCTACATGTTACTAGTGTAATGTTACTCCTGCTACATGTTACTAGTGTAATGTTACTCCTGCTACATGTTACTAGTGTAATGTTACTCCTGCTACATGTTACTCCTGCTACATGTTACTAGTGTAATGTTACTCCTGCTACATGTTACTAGTGTAATGTTACTCCTGCTACATGTTACTAGTGTAATGTTACTCCTGCTACATGTTACTAGTGTAATGTTACTCCTGCTACATGTTACTAGCGTAATGTTACTCCTGCTACATGTTACTAGTGTAATGTTACTCCTGCTACATGTTACTAGTGTAATGTTACTTCTACATGCTAGTGTAATGTTACTCATGTTACTTACTGTAATGTTACTCCTGCTACATGTTACTAGTGTAATGTTACTCCTGCTACATGTTACTAGTGTAATGTTACTCCTGCTACATGTTACTAGTGTAATGTTACTCCTGCTACATGTTACTAGTGTAATGTTACTCCTGCTACATGTTACTAGTGTAATGTTACTCCTGCTACATGTTACTAGTGTAATGTTACTCCTGCTACATGTTACTAGTGTAATGTTACCCCTGCTACATGTTACTAGCTAATGTTACTAGCTGTGTTACTAGTGTAATGTTACTACATGTGTTACTAGTGTAATGTTACCCTGCTACATGTTACTAGTGTAATGTTACTCCTGCTACATGTTACTAGTGTAATGTTACCCTGCTACATGTTACTAGTGTAATGTTACTCCTGCTACATGTTACTAGTGTAATGTTACTCCTGCTACATGTTACTAGTGTAATGTTACTCCTGCTACATGTTACTAGTGTAATGTTACTCCTGCTACATGTTACTAGTGTAATGTTACTCCTGCTACATGTTACTAGTGTAATGTTACTCCTGCTGCTACATGTTACTAGTGTAATGTTACCCCTGCTACATGTTACTAGTGTAATGTTACCCCTGCTACATGTTACTAGTGTAATGTTACCCCTGCTACATGTTACTAGTGTAATGTTACCCTGCTACATGTTACTAGTGTAATGTTACCCCTGCTACATGTTACTAGTGTAATGTTACTCCCGCTACATGTTACTAGTGTAATGTTACTCCTGCTACATGTTACTAGTGTAATGTTACTCCTGCTACATGTTACTAGTGTAATGTTACTCCTGCTACATGTTACTAGTGTAATGTTACCCCTGCTACATGTTACTAGTGTAATGTTACCTGCTGCTACATGTTACTAGTGTAATGTTACCCTGCTACATGTTACTAGTGTAATGTTACTCCTGCTACATGTTACTAGTGTAATGTTACTCCTGCTACATGTTACTAGTGTAATGTTACTCCTGCTACATGTTACTAGTGTAATGTTACTCCTGCTACATGTTACTAGTGTAATGTTACTCCTGCTACATGTTACTAGTGTAATGTTACTCCTGCTACATGTTACTAGTGTAATGTTACTCCTGCTACATGTTACTAGCTACGTAATGTTACTCCTGCTACATGTTACTAGTGTAATGTTACCCCTGCTACATGTTACTAGTGTAATGTTACTCCTGCTACATGTTACTAGTGTAATGTTACTCCTGCTACATGTTACTAGTGTAATGTTACTCCTGCTACATGTTACTAGTGTAATGTTACTCCCGCTACATGTTACTAGTGTAATGTTACTCCTACATGTGCTACATGTTACTAGTGTAATGTTACTCCTGCTACATGTTACTAGTGTAATGTTACCCCTGCTACATGTTACTAGTGTAATGTTACTCCTGCTACATGTTACTAGTGTAATGTTACCCCTGCTACATGTTACTAGTGTAATGTTACTCCTGCTACATGTTACTAGTGTAATGTTACTCCTGCTACATGTTACTAGTGTAATGTTACTCCTGCTACATGTTACTAGTGTAATGTTACTCCTGCTACATGTTACTAGTGTAATGTTACTCTGCTACATGTTACTAGTGTAATGTTACCCTGCTACATGTTACTAGTGTAATGTTACTCCTGCTACATGTTACTAGTGTAATGTTACCCCTGCTACATGTTACTAGTGTAATGTTACCCCTGCTACATGTTACTAGTGTAATGTTACTCCTGCTACATGTTACTAGTGTAATGTTACTCCTGCTACATGTTACTAGTGTAATGTTACTCCTGCTACATGTTACTAGTGTAATGTTACTCCTGCTACATGTTACTAGTGTAATGTTACTCCTGCTACATGTTACTAGTGTAATGTTACTCCTGCTACATGTTACTAGTGTAATGTTACCCTGCTTACATGTTACTAGTGTAATGTTACTCCTGCTACATGTTACTAGTGTAATGTTACTCCTGCTACATGTTACTAGTGTAATACATACTCCTGCCCCGGCTAACATGTTACTAGTGTAATGTTACTCCTGCTACATGTGTTACTAGTGTAATGTTACCCTCCTGCTACATGTTACTAGTGTAATGTTACCCTGCTACATGTTACTAGTGTAATGTTACTCCTGCTACATGTTACTAGTGTAATGTTACCCCTGCTACATGTTACTAGTGTAATGTTACTCCTGCTACATGTTACTAGTGTAATGTTACTCCTGCTACATGTTACTAGTGTAATGTTACTCCTGCTACATGTTACTAGTGTAATGTTACTCCTGCTACATGTTACTAGTGTAATGTTACTCCTGCTACATGTTACTAGTGTAATGTTACTAGTGTAATGCTACATGTTACTAGTGTAATGTTACTCCTGCTACATGTTACTAGTGTAATGTTACCCTGCTACATGTTACTAGTGTAATGTTACTCCTGCTACATGTTACTAGTGTAATGTTACTCCTGCTACATGTTACTAGTGTAATGTTACCCTGCTACATGTTACTAGTGTAATGTTACTCCTGCTACATGTTACTAGTGTAATGTTACTCCTGCTACATGTTACTAGTGTAATGTTACTCCTGCTACATGTTACTAGTGTAATGTTACCCCTGCTACATGTTACTAGTGTAATGTTACTCCTGCTACATGTTACTAGTGTAATGTTACTCCTGCTACATGTTACTAGTGTAATGTTACTCCTGCTACATGTTACTAGTGTAATGTTACTCCTGCTACATGTTACTAGTGTAATGTTACTCCTGCTACATGTTACTAGTGTAATGTTACCCCTGCTACATGTTACTAGTGTAATGTTACCCTGCTACATGTTACTAGTGTAATGTTACCCCTGCTACATGTTACTAGTGTAATGTTACTCCTGCTACATGTTACTAGTGTAATGTTACTCCTGCTACATGTTACTAGTGTAATGTTACTCCTGCTACATGTTACTAGTGTAATGTTACCCCCTGCTACATGTTACTAGTGTAATGTTACTCCTGCTACATGTTACTAGTGTAATGTTACTCCTGCTACATGTTACTAGTGTAATGTTACTCCTGCTACATGTTACTAGTGTAATGTTACTCCTGCTACATGTTACTCCTGCTACATGTTACTAGTGTAATGTTACTCCTGCTACATGTTACTAGTGTAATGTTACTCCTGCTACATGTTACTAGTGTAATGTTACTCCTGCTACATGTTACTAGTGTAATGTTACTCCTGCTACATGTTACTCCTGCTACATGTTACTAGTGTAATGTTACCCTGCTACATGTTACTAGTGTAATGTTACTACCTGCTACATGTTACTAGTGTAATGTTACCCTGCTACATGTTACTAGTGTAATGTTACTCCTGCTACATGTTACTAGTGTAATGTTACCCCTGCTACATGTTACTAGTGTAATGTTACTCCTGCTACATGTTACTAGTGTAATGTTACTCCTGCTACATGTTACTAGTGTAATGTTACCCCTGCTACATGTTACTAGTGTAATGTTACTACCGCTACATGTTACTAGTGTAATGTTACTCCTGCTACATGTTATCGTACTAGTGTAATGTTACTCCTGCTACATGTTACTAGTTAGTGTAATGTTACCCTGCTACATGTTACTAGTGTAATGTTACTCCTGCTACATGTTACTAGTGTAATGTTACTCCTGCTACATGTTACTAGTGTAATGTTACTCCCCTGCTACATGTTACTAGTGTAATGTTACTCCTGCTACATGTTACTAGTGTAATGTTACCCTGCTACATGTTACTAGTGTAATGTTACTGCTACATGTTACTAGTGTAATGTTACCCTGCTACATGTTACTAGTGTAATGTTACTAACTAGTTAATGCTACCCTGCTACATGTTACTAGTGTAATGTTACTCCTGCTACATGTTACTAGTGTAATGTTACCCCTGCCGTGCTACATGTTACTGCTACATGTGTGTAATGTTACTCCTGCTACATGTTACTAGTGTAATGTTACTCCTGCTACATGTTACTAGTGTAATGTTACTCCTGCTACATGTTACTAGTGTAATGTTACCCCTGCCTACATGTTACTAGTGTAATGTTACTCCTGCTACATGTTACTAGTGTAATGTTACTCCTGCTACATGTTACTTCAGTGTAATGTTACTCCTGCTACATGTTACTAGTGTAATGTTACTCCTGCTACATGTTACTAGTGTAATGTTACCCCTGCTACATGTTACTAGTGTAATGTTACTCCTGCCACATGTTACTAGTGTAATGTTACCCTGCTACATGTTACTAGTGTAATGTTACTGCTACATGTTACTAGTGCTAACATGCTACGTTACTAGTTACTAGTGTAATGTTACTCCTGCTACATGTTACTAGTGTAATGTTACTCCTGCTACATGTTACTAGTGTAATGTTACCCCTGCTACATGTTACTAGTGTAATGTTACTCCTGCTACATGTTACTAGTGTAATGTTACCCTGCTACATGTTACTAGCGTAATGTTACCCGCTGCTACGTGTTACTCTCGTAATGTTACTCCTGCTACATGTTACTAGTGTAATGTTACCCCTGCTACATGTTACTAGTGTAATGTTACCCCTGTTGCATGTTACTAGTGTAATGTTACCCCTGCTACATGTTACTAGCGTAATGTAACTCCTGCTACATGTTACTAACGAGTATGATCCTGTTGTTTCCAGGTTGCAGGCACCATACCGGCGTTAACGTCCAGGGTGCCGTTCCACTAACCGATCTTAGCCCTATGCCAATCGTAAACCCCTAAAATCCCAATCTTAGCGTGACGTTACGATCGGCATACCGTTCCACTAACCAATCTTACCTAAGTCAATCGTAAAGTTAAGATTCAAAGTCTAAGGTGCTCATGACCACCTTAGGATAGCTAAAATCAATCGTAGAGAAACCAAAATGGTGGCTTTCCTATTCTATGTGAAAAATAACAGCGAGCATTTCCCACCGTGAGCGTCCCCTAAAGTCCCCATGAAATGAATTTGTATATTTCTGTGATGTAAAGAAAAACTGCACTGAAGCCTTACAAATGTCAGGCCAGTCTGACCACTGTCGTCAAATGGAACACAACCGAGCGAGTCGGTGTAACACATTTGTACAACAATATTGGGTAAACGTCATGGTTAAGAATAGGGACAGCCGTGAAGTGAACAATGTTCTGAAGCAAAAGATACAAATAATGCTTGATTTCCTCACTGTGCATATTTGGTGGGGATTCTAAAGGCAGGCCGCGTTATTCAAGACCACTGACAGATCTCTACATACGTTATAGCCTCGTCACGCCTTGTTTATTCTGATTGACAAGGTTCAGGCACATATTAAAAGCTCTGACACAATTGACATTTTTAAAGTCCAGACTTAAAACCTGTTCTCAGTATATTACTTAAATATTATAATCTCGGCTGTAAATATTCTCGTGTAAATTATCTGTACACAGCGCTTTGAGCATGCCCAAGGATGTGGAATAGGCGCACTATAAATATGCATTTATTATTATTATATTATGCTTGATACCCAGCGTTCTCACGCACTTGCACCTGAGACCAAGGTGCTCACTACCCTAGTATTTTGCTCTAGGTTTTTCTCCACGTTTACACTTTTGTTTGGAAAATACCCATGAAGGCCCGGGTTAGAATATTGAACTTCAATAACCCATGCTTGTCGTAAGAGGCCACTAACGGGATCGGGACCTGCATTACTTCGGGTCTCACTCCCACATTAAGCAGACACGCCGTGATATGACTTTAATGTTGTTCCAAGGGGTGTTAAAGGCTCTCCATCCTAAGTAAACCTACCCGCTCTGATGAATCTGTTACACTCTTCAGAGCGGGTTCAAACTCATTGACACAAAGATCAAAGAGATAGAATAATTCTATCTTCACCCTTATGACACTGCTGATCGTGAAACGGGTGAGCAGGCCCTACTCTATCGTATCTTGTGCACGCGAATATTACACTGTAAAGACATACTGTGGTCGATGGTTAAACGGCATTCTCTCAGGACGTTCGAGAAAGAAATTTCACTATAGCTGTTGTGCCACTGAGTCTTTGTGTAAGAATCTAGCGCACCACAATATAACATGTGTTACATTTGATCACTTCCTTAATGGCATTGTGTATTCATGTGATAACAACAAGTAAGTGAATGTTTACGTAGCACGAGGTTTTATTCGTAAAACAATACACCAAGGGTTATTTTAAGATACATAGCAATTTACGACACTTTAATTATTCAAGAACATATTTACATCGTTTCACTAAACCAGATAAATACATATTACATATGTTTATATATACACACAATATGAAAACAATTGACACAGACAGAGAAAACGGATTGTAGATTCAGGGGTACTCGATATAAGTATGGATACTTTCCTGAAAGTAACAAATATAAACAACTCCAGCTTGGTTCATAATTTCGAATTCTCGCTGTTGGAGGGTTTAGTCGCCGAGATGGGTGTTTCTTTGGTCTCCCCGCCGGACGAAGTAGCGGTACGTTTGATGGATTTCCGGATGGTCAAGTTCCTGCAGGAATAGCACAGTACGCGTTTCAGGGTCGATGCGAATTTCTCACTGAGGGCGAAGTACAATACGAAATTCCAAGCAGAATTTGTAGCCTCGGCAAGTTGACCGAATGCACTGACCAGATAAAAGACATTTTTCTCGGACCCTCTGAGGTTGTATTCCGGGTACAGAAAGACGAAAGCCTGATGGATGCTGGCAGGAATGTTGAAGATGACGTATGAGATGCAGATTGTAAGCATCATCCTGGTGACCCTAGTCAACTTTTCATCCTTCGCCGATGACGTAGCCTTCTGGAAGGCAGTAGATTTCCTCAGGGCAATGATGATAGTGACGGATGTTGTGAAAATGAATACAACTGGGATGAATCGGAACATAATGGTGAGAAAGACACTCAAATACCAGTTCATTACCACAATGTTCTTTGTGTAGAAATCGGTTAAAGACACGTAAGCCATTGGGGCCTTAGTTATTGGGTGGGTTGTCCAGTTGAGTTGCATGGTGAAGAACGTCGGGGAAATCAGAGTCAAGACCACGACGATTAATGCAATTATCATAATCCACACCCTTTTGGTGGTAAACCAGATCCTAACCTTCATTGGTCTGGTCACTGCTATACACCGTTCTAAAGATATCAGCATTGTGATGACCCCTGTAAAACGACTGAAGATAATAGTTATCACTTTCATCTGGGGTAAAGTCACCATGTAATAGTTCATTCCAAGAAGAGCGTCGAACTTCCCGAGGATGCATTCAACCCTACGGATGCCGTTAGTTAGTAGGTTGCCAGTGTCTGACACCGTCAGGACAAAGAGGAAGATGTTAGTTGAGTCCTTCAGTCCTTGGATCATCAGGACGATGCAGCTCAAGACGTTACCCGTCGTTCCCAAGATCGTGAGAATTGGTAGGAACCAGCAGTAAACTACGTCCTCCACCAAATCTCTGGTAGCTTTGTCTACCATTGGTTCTATCTTAGACTGGAGCAGTTCGTCCAGGTTTCCCTCCGTAGTGCTCTCGGTCCAGTTAGAAAGCAAGTCTGTGATATTCATGGTGAAATCTGAATGAGAAGAAGGATTCTTTTAAGATGACACTGTACAATTTGAAGGGCGGTGGGGTAGCCCAGGGGTTAAAGCGTTCGCTCGTCACGCCGAAGACCCGGGTTCGATTCCCCACAAGGGTACAATGTGTGAAGCCCATTTCTGCTGTCCCCGCCGTGATATTGCTGGAATAGAGCTAAAACCGGCGTAAAGCTGAACTCACTCACTCACTCACTGTACAATTTGACCATGTAAAATCTCATTATAATTTGCGTTTCAATTTTGTTATTAAATTGCAGACGATGTCCATTCCAGGTTCATATTAGTTATAACTGTTGGATATCATCACTTTGGTTCATATCTATTCTAATTTGGAAATTACTGGATACTTTTTTTTATCAATCAGAGGTATCAAATGACAATTACAACCTCTGATTGGAAGAACAGATTTGACGTCCTCGAAGTTTGTAACCACAAATACTCCTTTCTGATTACTGGTAGGTACTTATTGTTGAATAATCATATGTTCAATAATACAAAATATATGTGGCAATAGCCTCAAGAGCAGAAAATACTTTCAAAGTCGACTACGAGAGTGTATTTCAAGTTTTAGGAGCAAACCTTAAATTTGGCACTTTTCTGCGCTCGGTGGTACCTGTTGTATTAAATTTTAAAACAAAAACGTATAATCTCATTGATCAGTACCACTGTTTAAACCAGTTCAGAGAGTTCCAATTGCACATATGAAACATTTGAGAATTGTTTGAATATACCTTTGTGTGATATTTAACAAAACAAAAACTTACTTGTTGATGGTAGCTGTTTTGAAATTGTCGACGTTGTTGATTTTCTATACAGGCGGTCTGTCTTGGTACCTGTTAAGGACCAAAAATATATAATGATATCTTTTTCTAATTCCTCCTTTTCAGAGGAGTGCCAATAACCAAAATGACGCCATGTTGTAGAATGATAGAGGCTGTTTGTCATTGGTATTTCTGACAGTGAATTCTTTTCACGTGTGCTATAGGCAATATTTAGACCTCTTCTGGCACGATATATTTCAGTGCATAATCTTTATGCAAAGACCAGCATTACCCGAGCTATTCCCCAGCTATGTCGCCGCTATACCCCAACTATATCCACGCTGTATCCTCTGCTATACCCCCAGCACTATCCCAGCTATACCCCCAGCAGTATCCCAGCTATACCCCAAGCAGTTTCCCAACTATACCCCCAGCAGTATCCCAGCTATACCCCAGCTGTATCCCAGCTATACCCCCAGCTGTATCCCAGCTATACCCCCAGCAGTATCCCAGCTATACCCCCAGCAGTATATCCCAGCTATACCCCCAGCTATATCCCAGCTATACCCCCAGCTGTATCCCAGCTATACCCCAAGCAGTATCCCAGCTATACCCCAGCACTATCCCAGCTATATCCCAGCTGTACCCCAGCAGTATCCCAGCTATACCCCTAGCAGTATCCCAGCTATACCCCAGCTGTATCCCAGCTATACCCCAGCTGTATCCCAGCTATACCCCAGCAGTATCCCAGCTATACCCCACCAGTATCCCAGCTATACCCCCAGCTGTATCCAAGCTAAACCCCAGCTGTATCCCAGCTATACCCCCAGCAGTATCCCAGCTATATCCCCTGCTGTATCCCAGCTATACCCCCAGCTATATCGCAGCTATACCCTAGCTATACCCCCAGCTAAACCCCAGCTTGACCTACGCTATATCCCAGCTGTATCCCAGATATACCGTAGCTATACCCCAGCTATATCGCAGCTATATCGCAGCTATAGGATATCGCTCACTCTACCCTAGACTGAACAGCCTAAACCCCGATAGACGTACTTTTAAGATTTTTAACTGGACCAACAGATGGCATCAAGAAAGAAAAATAACTGGATAAAATGCTTACACGTGAAGCTTACATCACTAAACTTGACTGATTTCGAACAAGTAAACAATGCATTACGTGTGAAGGAAGTTGTAAACAAAGTTCAGAGTGTAGTACGAGAGAGATATTATGAGAACTGGAAGAAGAAGATAGATTGCCCGACCAGTCGAGATGGCAAGGGAGGTAATAAACTCCGACATTACAGAACTTTTAAGACGAATTATGGAGCAGAACGTTACAATACTGATAACATCCCACGAGGCCACAGAAGAGCGATAGCCATGTTTAGGTGCTAGAAACTGGTCGCTACAGTAATATGCCTTTAAGGGAAAGAGTGTGTTTTAGCTGTTTGAATATTGTTGAAGATGAAATGCATGTACTTTTATACTGTCCTTTATATCAATCTTTTACAAAATGTCTGTTGGATAAGTGCATAGTTTTAAATGGTAATTTTATAAATTCTACGGATGAGGAAAACCTATCGTTTTTAATGTCTAGTCCTATTTTATGTAAGTTAACAGCCAAGACCTGCTCGAATATCCTTAAGGAACGATGCGTTCAGCCAGCTATATCGCAGCTGTACCCTAGCTATGCCCCAGCTAAACCCCAGCTTGACCTCCGCTATATCCCAGCTAAACCCTAGCTATACCCCCACTATGCCCCAGCTAAACCCCAGCTTGACCTCCGCCGCTATATCCCAGCTAAACCCCAGCTTGACCTCCGCTATATCCCAGCTAAACCCTAGCTATACCCCAGTTATACCGCAGATATATCGCAGCTAAACCGCAGCTTGACCTCCTCTATATTCCAGCTGGATCCCAGATATATCCCCACTATATCGCAGCTATACCCTAGTTATACCCCAGCTACCCCAGCTATAACCTAGCTATATATCGCAGCTATATCCTGTATATACGCCAGCTAAATCCCAGCTTGACTTCGGCTATATCCGAGCTCTATCCCAGCCATACCCCAGGTAGTCTCCAGATATATCCCTGCTATATCCCAACTATGTCTCATTTGTACCCCAGATAAGACTCAGCTATATCCTGCTATGCCCTAGATATCCATCAGCAAAATGCCAGCTATATCACAGCTACACCCAGTTTCAATTCAGCTATACCCAGCAATATACAAACTTTAACTACCCTTATTCTTTGTTACACTTATATAAGTTTTGAATTTCTGACAACAAATTTTCAAAAATACCGTCACCAAAGACAAATCTGTATCACATGTTTGGACTTTACATACACACATCCTATGAAAAGTATCAATGGATAATATTTCCAACTAAAAGACAATGAAGTAACATTTTACTCTACCTATATATCTAGTGGATTTGTCAGTTGAAAATCAGTTTTAGATTAAACAAGGTCTCAGTACATTGAATACATCTTCCACAATCTTCCAAAACGTTCCGCTACTTTGTCTTAAAGTATGTAAATACTGTTGGTCCTATCTCCAGCCAATGACATGTCTGGTAAAACGTTTCAATACAGAACTAAAGCATGACGTACCTGAAGATTGAACCTGGTTGCTTTGGACAGCACGGCAACTGACAAGAACTCAGCAATATTGGGGAAATTGAAGTACATTTATGTATCATGAAGTGTGAAAGTTACAGTTAACTGGTAATAACATTGATACTTGCAGGATAGCACATTCTGATTAATTGTGCACCTGTTTGGCGTAATAAGCCAGCATGACGTCTTGCCTGATGCCTTGACGTGAGTTTCCGATACATTACATCACATGAAGGCACCTGCATTAACACAAATAGTTATTCATTAGTATCATGGTGGCGGTGTTTGACAGTGTATATGTGTAGACGTTGATTAATCATATTTGAAGGGAGACACTCTTTAGTAATGGCGTGTTAATTAAATCTGGTGTGGAACCATGATGGATTTGGATTTTGGTAATTGCCAATGTGGGTATTCATCTGTAGGCGTTAGTAGCATGTTTCTTCTTCTCTGGCTGTTTATTAGCATAAATTAGCATTAGTCATAAGGATCATAATACCGGTCTTTTTTATCGTGTTTTTCTCTCATTTGAATAGTTCGGTGAAATAGAAGGCATACAAACATGTAGTTCATCGCAATAACAAACGAAAACAAGCTCTTACTTGTAATTATTTTACATGATTTTAGAAGAGCAGTCACACACGCACACGTACACGCAGACGCAGACGCAGACGCAAATGTACATGTCTTGCTTAAATATATATCCAAGCTGGATCAATTTGCCCAGTTGTTCAAGTTTGCCACACATTATTTAAGACCATTGTTCCATGTTTGGATTCCTTTAATGATATTATTGATGTAAACCACGGTCTGCAGTGAGGGGGTGGGTACAGCGCTCAACACTAAATATATGCATGTTACCTGTGTATATATGTATCCCATCCGCTGTATCAACTCAATGTGTTATTTTCCTAGTATTTGAGCCAGGGAGACATTGTTAGATGCACATTTAAAATATTTTAGGTAAATGTTCATCACACAAAAACCGACAAGACGTCCTGAACTAGATAAGCTGATGATTGCTCATAAAACACAGTCCCCAGCATGCACAAACAGCACCTTGCATGAAATGTTTATACATTCAACAAATGGTTTAAAGATATTGATAAACTGCACCATGAATGACAAACGTTTCTGTCCATTATAAATAATTACTTGCAGCTGAAAACAAGTGTTTTGATTCAGATGAAAGTATTTGCATATTACACTTGAGGAACAAAGGACGGAGATGTTGCCAGGTCGGGATTCAGGTTTATCAGAAACTCGTCATTGTTGCTGCAGTTTTAGAAACTCATCATTGTAATTGCATATTGAGGTGGACAAACCACTTAAGCCTGGCTTACAAGGGCCTATTCCATTCGAATTAGCGTTTACGGTGATCTCATTTAAAACTGACTGCAAAAGAAGTCGCATTGAACTGTTTGTCTAACACGTGGATTTTTCTCGAAAAGACGGATAATTCGATTTATATTCGACGTTTAGGGTACCAGGACGGAACGTATATTATATTGTTGAAAAACTGTTGTTGAAATGTCTAATAATGCTACTTTGTAATATTTAACACTTTGTGTTATATTATGTTTGTTTATGTTTTGAACTGTCTACGAAATTAAAATTAATCTGCGATATTATCATATTGACCTATATATGGATCACACAGTCCTTAATGTTTAATTTATCCATGCTGTCGATGAGCTCTAAATGATTATAACTAGCTGCATGTTGGTAGAGAGGTAGTTTTTGACTGGGATAAACACATATGAAATACAATGATAGACAAAGGGGGGAAGAGAGGAAAGCAAAGAGACTGGACAGAAAGAGAGAGAGGAGAAGGGGCGAGGAAAGGAGAGAATAGATGACAGAGGTGGGGAGGGGTGTCGTCAAATTCATTGTATGAGAAACACTAATATGGATGGGTGATCGGGGAGGGGGGTGTACATTTGTTACCACACATGGTTGACACTATTGGTGACTGACTGTTTCGTCCATTCGTGAGTTGCTTGTGTAACTCCCTTTGCACGTTACGGAATGGGGCGAGTGCTGACGAATGTGTTTCGTAGTATTAAGAAGGTGTGATGAACAATGGTGTTATGTATACACACCTTATTAAAATCGCTATATACGTGTCGCCCTTGTCCTTGTTTACTCTCATGTAAGTTAGTAATCTGATGTTACTTCAACCTCATTTTCAGCGGCATACGGCACCTGCGGTCAAATCTGATTATAATATTTGGTTGGTTGGTTTGTTGTTTAACGCCACACTCAGCAATATTCCAGCCATATGTTGGCGGTCTGTAAATAATCCAGTGATTATAAGAAGCCTAGTTTTGAATTACATACTGAATTACATACATACATACAGACGACATACATAGAAGATGTTCACAACTTCTTCTTCTACAGAATATATGTGCATGGAATTGGTACGGGACAATTTGTGGGCTGTAATATCATATGATATGACACAGATGACCTCCATTACCCCTGCTGTGTGCGTGTCTGTGTGTGTATCTGTGTGTGTATCTGTGTGCGTGTCTGTGTGTGTATCTGTGTGCGTGTCTGTGTGTGTATCTGTGTGTGTATCTGTGTGCGTGTCTGTGTGTGTATCTGTGTGTGTATCTGTGTGCGTGTCTGTGTGTGTATCTGTGTGCGTGTCTGTGTGTGTATCTGTGTGTGTGTCTGTGTGTGTATCTTGTGTCTGTGTGCGTGTCTGTGTGTGTATCTGTGTGCGTGTCTGTGGGTGTATCTGTGTCTGTGTGTGTGTTTGCGTCTCTGTATGTGTGTTGTTGATAGTTAATTCTGCAGTTTTAAGACGGCGGCCTTTATCTAATCATATAACCAAGACAATTCAATGAATGATGTACTCTTCGTCTGATAGCAGAAGTGTTACAAATGCAAATATAAAACATTTTGATAAATCGCTGTGGGTGCGGCGAGTGACGATGTATTTTATCTGACCACAGTATCGTTGTGTGCTCCTTTGGCTACATAGTGCTGATTTAACTGGCGCCACAGTTTGACATCTTTGGTCCGTTTAGGACAGGAGATGGGTGTAAACATTGAGGGTCAATACAGTAATATGAGGACACAAACGGTGCATCCTCGCAAGTTTACGTGGTTGCAGACCCAGACAGACAGATAGGCGATGGGATTTAGAAATCTGAAACAGAAAAACATAATATGGATAAATTAGCACGTCTAGAATGGTATGGAACGAACGTGTTCAGAAGTTTAAGACAGAATATAGTGTGGCAGATACTGTGTGTGATGTAAGGTGACAAATTGTATTGTAACATTCCTGTAACAAGTCATCACATGTCGGCGTACATCTTCCCAGAATATAGGCAGTGCAATCTACAACACTTTCTGGTCGACAGATCCATGAAATGTATGGTCTCTACTATAAACGTGGTTTGTAGTTTCGCCATTTACAAGCTCCTGCGAGGCGCATTCTCGATTACCTCTAAACATATATTTACGGGGAACATCAAGTTCTGTTGTATCGAACTCGAAAACTCAATCATTCTTGTATTGGAAATGACAAGTTCCTTCAGGGGCATGTGTGGCTGGCAGGTGTGTCGATATAGTGTGTACAATCATTGGCCTTGTCACACCTGCTCGTCATTGCCAACCTTCTATACAGTCGTCTATCATTGAGGGTATCATTCGTGTATAATATACCTGTCAGTGATGAAAAAGTGAGCGCAAAGTGCTTGCAATTAAACATGATTAACATAACTTTTCAGCTTTGAATCTGACGCGGAAAAGGACACTGAATCGAAACTATTACAGCTAAATTTTTGACTCAAGTTACCATTAGTGTATCCCGTGCTCTGTTTTGCTATGAATTGTGGGCCTTATATTGAGTGAGTGAGTGAATTTAGTTTTACGCCGCTTTTAGCAATATTCCAGCAATATCACGGCGGCGGGTGTTTCACACGTCTTCGGCGTGACGCGCGAACGCTTTAACCACTAGGCTACCCCACCGCCCCCTTATAATGAGTAGAACGTCAGTCTGTCGGTTTCCCATCTGCGAACGAATGTGAAAGGATCTGGTAGTGATCTTGCTAGTGATTTGTGTCCATTCCACCTTGTGCCTACAATAACGTTCTTCAAGGAGCAGTTCAACACGTGTTGGTTTGGTCGTACAGTAATAGTAGCCCCTTGTGTGTCACGTACACTGTAACATTCCGACTCACAGTTTCGTAATTGGCAACTAATCAATAGTCAGGTATGCTACTATATTTATTACGATTTGGTTTTGCGCTTCAAGAATCCTGACTGAACAGATGACGCAGTTGCCGGTGAGGCTGCAATGCCTCAGATGTATCCACATGTATTGACAGATGGTTCCAATCCCAGTTTCGCTCTTGCAATGATATTTGATTTGTCCACACAACACCTTTGTAAAACCTGTGTCAGTTTTAGTTTTTCTCACGTTTTCACTCCGTCATATAAATGACTGCTCAAGGCGTCGTAAAAATACATCCAAAACTAACGTCAACACAAAGTTGGGCATAGAAGTGACGTGATCCCCACCTGTACAACTAGCAGGGAAGGAACTTGGAAACATAATGCCTGTGATGTCACGACTTTACACTAGGGCTGAGACGGGTAACCCGTATACCCGGGACGGGTGGGTAATGAGTAGGACCCGGGTACCCGTTTCAATACCCGGACCCGTTATGATCATGTGACTGATAGATTAAACAATGCAATATGTTATTATTCCATGATTCAAATGTTATATTGTCTTGAAAAGACTGTCTGTATGAGGAAATAACAGACTGTCTGTATGAGGAGAGAACAGGCTGTCTGTATGAGGCGAGAACAGGCTGTCTGTATGAGGAGAGAACAGACTGTCTGTATGCGGAGAGAACAGTCTGTATGGGGAGAGAACAGGCTCTCTGTATGAAGAGAGAACAGATTCTCCTTATGAGGAGACAACAGACCATTTGTATGAGGAGAGACGCATGAGGAAATAACAGACTGTCTGTATGAGGAGAGAACAGACTGTTTGTATGGGGAGAGAACCGACTATCTGTTTGAAGAGAGAACAGACTGTCTGTATGAGGAGAGAACAGACTGTCTGTATGAGGAGAGAACAGACTGTCTGCATGGGGAGAGAACAGGCTGTCTGTATGAGGAGAGAACAGACTGTCTGTATGAGGAGAGAACAGACTGTCTGTATGAGGAGAGAACAGGCTGTTTGTATGAGGAGAGAACAGACTGTCTGTATGAGGAAAGCACAGACTACATATAGGACAGAACAAATCGAATATAGAAAGAACATACTGAATACAGGAGATTTCATATCAAGTATATTTAACATTCCACGGGTCTATCCCTTTAACGCCAGACGGAAGTTCCTTATCACTGGGATGACAAACTTTGACCACCTTTCAGGACAGACTGCGTAGCAAGGGCATAGGAAAGTTGAAATTACCGTATTGTACGTCCCCCAGACCACATGAAGTGCAGCACACAGTCAGGCGAGATGTTTGCGGCTGTCAATCTTCTGTGCATTTCGTCTCTCGTGGTGTATGTACAAGGTGAGTGAACGTCCATGCAACACGGAAACCAACAGGTGGTGCTGACCAAGATAAGACTCGTGTTTCACGTTATCAAATATCCCTCTCTTTATCTTTCCAAAATATACTCTGAGGGGTGAAAGCGGGTGTAACCGTTGTCTTTTGTCCACGATTTGCATGTTTTGTATCGATATATAACACAATATGCAAATTGGTTTGGCATTCGTAATGTGTAACGAATCCCAGGTATGTTACAGTAATTATTCATTTAAAGGTGAAACCAACTTTTTTGTTATTTTTATCCGTCTCGTGGTATTTTTCATCAGCCAAGAAAAGAAATGATGAAACACATATATCATTTTTTTGCCACTGGGCGAAATGGTCTTGTAAGACCCGACTTCTATTCTATGTGAGTAAAACTATGAAGTTCATTTTCAGGGGTCCTTGGATATGAAATGGCTTAAAGCGGCGGAAAAACACACTCATATACTCACTTACTCACATACTCACTAATCGCCCTTACTGTTCCATTGGCAGGCTCATTGAAGTGTTTGTGTGCAACTGTTGAACTCCAAGTTGCGTTTGAAAAAGGCCCGACATTGCTGCCAAAGGACAAATGTGCAGACATCGTTGACAATGTACAAGGGGCACATGGAAGCGTTTGGTACAAGGTTAAATATAACAATCAGGTACGTAGAGCGTGACGTATTTGATGGAAGCGCCCATTAAATTTTCTAGTTCATTCTGCAAGAGCGTCTTACCTGCTATAGTTCTTTTTAGTTAAACCCCAACAAGTAAGAAAGACTTAAACGAGTCGTGTTCTTTTTCAGAGTGGCTGGATACAGGCAAACAACAGCATGATGTCGGTGTTACCTTGCAGATACATAAGTAAGGATACAACTTCTATATCACGGTCGGACTAGTGATGCTACTCACCGACCGGGCAGGGTTATACCATGTTTAATGCTTCATGGAGAACATACTGGTGATAGAACTGTCAACGCTCCCAGTCCGTTGGTATACATAGCAATAAATTCTTGTACTTATATATTGGTAAAATTGAATAATTCTTGATGATCATCGTTAATATATACCCATGCCAAAAATGGTTATCACCCCCTGGGGGTGGGGGTGGGGTGGGATGGGGGTGTGACATCCATTATTAGCATGAGTAAAATAACTGATGTACACTTAAAGACTTCTTTATGTCATGACCTGACTGAATGTCATGGCGACCCAGTGTTCACATTATCGACCACGGTTGAACCTGATTCTGTCACAATATACTGTCAAGGCCGGTATGCAAATACGCTTTTTGTGTGTTGTGTTTGGTTTTGTTTTTTTGTCTTTTTGGAGTGTGTATCTTTGTGTTTCCCATCTTCCGCCATATACTTCCTTCTCGTTCAGAAAGAATAGTGGTCATTTCCACCCATTCATTCAATGAATATCTCAATCTGATGAAATGACGAAATTCCCGTTGCATGAGAGAGTATTTTGCCACTAGCGTCGTGATAGTTTCAGCTAGTGTCTTCATGTCTTGTTATTTCGAGTCTGTACATTGCTGACCTCCACTGCTGAAGATCTTCCTTTCATGGATAATGTTTAAACATCAATTTGGAACTTTCCAGACCAAATTCTCAACCACATTTTATTTGACTTTGTTTATCGACCGTCCTCCTCCCGATTGGTAAAGAGGAACACACGTAATTGTTTGAAGGCTTAAGTGAGTGAGTGAATTTGGTTTTACGCCGCTTTTAGCAATATTCCAGCAATATCACGGCGGGGGACACCAGAAATGGGTTCACACATTGTACATACGAGGGGAATGGAACCCGGGTCTTCAACGTGACGTGCGGACGTTTTAACAATTAGGCTGCCCCACCGTCCCGAATAGCTTTAGTCCTTAATCGAGAAAAATATGCAGTCTTATATATTAACGCAAACCTGTGTCTTACCTAAAACGATTTTTACTGTCAAGATGAATGCTTCAGAAGTAGTGCTCTGTCTTCAGATGTATCCACGACTACACCGACGACTACTCCAACACCTACGACTACTCCAACAACTACGACTCCCTCTCCGTGCAGTGACAGGGACGGAATCGACTGCCAGTGGCTTGTCGACCAAGGCAACAACATCTGTAGTGATAAAGCAGCTGCCCAAGAAAGTTGTTCTAAATATTGTAAACTATGTAATTAAGGGGATACTCCTATACTTGGACGGTAGCACTTAAGGTATTCAGAAATAAATTAATTTTAACAAGCTACCATTTTGCAATATTGTGGATATATAACATGTCTTCTAGGTAGAGGATCGAATTCGCTCACACGACTGATTTTTTATAATGTAATTCAGTATTTCTGGTTGTACCATTCTCAAACGTCAGAAAACACTCATTGAGTATATTTTTTTCCTTTTCGTGACCGCGAGCCCCTATGTGATTGTTTTGAAACCGAGAACACCACCTGAATATACTCTGGTGTGTTAACACTTTTGAACAAAATGTCATTAGTTTCAAAATGATAATATCGTGTTATTAAGTATGCTTACGAGAATATTCTATTTATTATAGATTCCGTGTATTTGCAATTTATTGTATCATTTATGTTCAGTTACATTCTGAAGCCTTTTAACGACAGCATAAACCGACTGATCAGAAACCGGAGCGGCATCAACTAGTTGACCGTCAATTCATTGTTTTATGTTTGTCTGTATCGTTTCATATTTCTGAAGAAACGTTTGACACATTTGAATAAGGTGACGTAGTGTCTCACGTTTCACGCAGCTTTAAGCAATATCTCGGTTGAATGACTCAATTTGGTTTTACGCCGCTTTCAGCAATATCTCGGCGGGGGACTCAGTTTGGTTTTACGCCGCTTTCAGCAATATCTCGGCGGGGGACTCAGTTTGGTTTAACGCCGCTTTCAGCAATATCTCGGCGGGGGACTCAGTTTTGGTTTAACGCCGCTTTCAGCAATATCTCGGCGGGGGACTCAGTTTTGGTTTTACGCCGCTTTCAGCAATATCTCGGCGGGGGACTCAGTTTGGTTTTACGCCGCTTTCAGCAATATCTCGGCTGGGGACTCAGTTTGGTTTAACGCCGCTTTCAGCAATATCTCGGCGGGGGGACTCAGTTTGGTTTTACGCCGCTTTCAGCAATATCTCGGCGGGGTGGACTCAGTTTTGGTTTTACGCCGCTTTCAGCAATATCTCGGCGGGGACTCAGTTTTGGTTTTACGCCGCTTTCAGCAATATCTCGGCAGGGGACTCAGTTTTGGTTTTACGCCGTTTTCAGCAATATCTCGGCGGGGGGGACTCAGTTTTGGTTTTACGCCGCGTTCAGCAATATCTCGGCGGAGTGACTCAGTTTGGTTTTACGCCGCTTTCAGCAATATCTCGGCAGCGGAACTCAGTTTGGTTATACGCCGCTTTCAGCAATATCTCGGCGGAGTGACTCAGTTTGGTTTTACGCCGCTTTCAGCAATATCTCTGCGGGGGAACTCAGTTTGGTTTTGCGCCGCTTTCAGCAATATCTCGGCGGGGGACTCAGTTTGGTTCCGCTTTCAGCAATATCTCTGCGGGGGAACTCAGTTTGGTTTTACGCCGCGTTCGGCAATATCTCGGCGGCGGGACTCAGTTTGGTTTCACGCCGCTTTCAGCAATATCCCGGCGGGGGAACTCAGTTTGGTTTTACGCCGCTTTCAGCAATATCTCGGCGGGGGACTCAGTTTGGTTCCGCTTTCAGCAATATCTCGGCGGGGGACTCAGTTTGGTTCCGCTTTCAGCAATATCTCGGCGGGGGGACTCAGTTTGGTTTTACGCCGCTTTTAGCAATATCTCGGCGGGGGACTTAAGAAAGGAACTTCGGACATTGTGCCAGCATGGGGAATGGAATCCGTGTGTTCGTAATGAAGGCCTTAACCACTAGATGCCTTCCGCTCCTACCACAACAGTCTGACATGAACAGAGAGTTCTAGAAATACCTTTACTCTCACCATCCTTTCTGCACCGTTATAGGATCACGGATAGGAGACAACAAAATTAACTTCGAACATAGAATCCAAACTATCGAACATGTGCTCTTGAAGAGCAAATACTGAAACTTGTAGGTCACCAAATGCCGAGAATACATACAAGTTGACCTATGGAGCGAACAACGAGTACTAAACTAGAACGACAGGTCATTGTTTGATTTTTAAACTCATGATATAATCTTTAGACAGTCAGAGAGACGCTGGGATTCCATGACATAATTGAAGTTGTTTGGACTACCAAATAGCCCAAGTCTTTCTTTGAGGGACTTTCTTCAAAAGCCTCTCTTTCTGACAAGGTCAAGGTATGAACTAACTTAGACATTGTCTCGGTATTACTCGGGTAATCATAAAACGATATTATGCTAATGATTACACAATGCCATTTAGAAAGTGGTCAAATGTAACATATGTTATATTTGGGATTACACTTTCTTAGTAAAGTACAAATTCTAGAAGTCGCGGTAGCTGAGCGGGTTAGGCCGCTGACTGTTATGTGTTGGCGATTAAGTGCCTGACTCTGAGAGTGTGGGTTCGAATCCCGGATGGGACTAATCTAAAAAATAGTACTAGAATTTGTACTTTACTAAGAAAGTGTAATCCCAAATATAACATATGTTAGATATATGCTAATGTTGGAGTCATATAGTTTGAACGAGTTCGGTAAATTGTGTTTGGCTACCAAATATGGATTTGCCATGGTGCAAATCAGGAACCATCCATTCAACATGATCACAGGTCTTGCTTGGGCTGGAAACTGCCACAGTTCTGTTAACTTACTGCCAACCAGATAAAACAGATATGTGTTACAAGAACCTGATTGTCATAATGTGACCCTGTTTATATTCCGACAGTAACCTATTATTTTTATCACACCCACGCCTAAACACGATTCCTACATTTGCGGAATTAGAGCACTAGACCAGACCTCCCACGACATGCATGTATACACGGATGTGTTGTCTGGACACGGAATGAATAATACGTCGACTGTATCTCACAGAATGTTTATTACAATGCTCATATTTATTTACCTAATTCTTGGCATTTTGCCTGCTCAAGGTACGTATAAATGTTCATATTGCCACAGACGGAACCGGAATGTTTAAATGTTTCAAGGCGCAGATTTGTAATTGTTGACGTGACGATGACTGCAGCCAGTAGTATAATGATGGTGGTTCATGTCAAATGGGATCCATTTATGATTTAGGAGGATTCAAATAGAATAACCCCCATTCCGGAACCGTGACAAATGTTAAAGCCAAAATGTCACAGGGTATTCATAGTTTTTCATTTTTGTAAAAGGATGATTTATCTTTTTACATGACCTAATCATTAGGAATAAGATTCACGCAGTAATTACACGTTTGTAGGCATGTAGGTGGTAGTTAAACAATATTATGGTAGTTAAACGTTTGTGGGCATACAGAGGATAGTTAGATCTTTGTGGACATACAGAGGGTAGTTAAATCTTTGTGGACATACAGAGGATAGTTAAATCTGTGTGGACACACAGAGGATAGTTAGAAGTTTGTGGACATACATAGGATAGTTGTACCTTTGTAATCATACAGAGGATAGTTAGACCTATGTGGGCATACATAGGATAGTTAGACGTATGTGGGCATACAGAAGATAGTTAGACCTTTGTGGGCATACATAGGATAGTTAGACCTTGTGGGCATACAGAGGATAGTTAGACCTTTGTAGGCACACAGAAGATAGACCTTTGTGGGCATACATAGGATAGTTAGACCTTGTGGGCATACAGAGGATAGTTAGACCTTTGTAGGCACACAGAAGATAGACCTTTGTGGGCATACATAGGATAGTTAGACCTTTGTAGGCATATGGGAATAGTTAAACGTTTGTGGGCCTACAGAAGACAGTTAGACCTTTGTGGGCATACATAGGATAGTTGGACCTTTGTGGGCATACAGAGGATAGTTAGACCTTTGTGGGCATACATAGGATAGTTAGACCTTGTGGGCATACATAGGATAGTTGGACCTTTGTGGGCATACAGAGGATAGTTAGACCTTTGTGGGCATACATAGGATAGTTAGACCTTTGTTGGCATATGGGAATAGTTAAACGTTTGTGGGCCTACAGAAGACAGTTACACGCTCGTTAAACGTGTCCCTTTTTTAAACATGTATTTGTTAGTACACACATCAACCAGCATATATGAATTATGGTAGATACAGGTTTGTAGGCATATATATGTTATACAGGTTTGTAGGCATACATATGTTATACAGGTTTGTAGGCATATATATGTTATACAGGTTTGTAGGCATATATATGTTATACAGGTTTGTAGGCATATGTGTTATACAGGTTTGTAGGCATTTATATGTTATACAGGTTTGTAGGCATATATATGTTATACAGGTTTGTAGGCATTTATATGTTATACAGGTTTGTAGGCATATATATGTTATACAGGTTTGTAGGCATATATATGTTATACAGGTTTGTAGGCATATATATGTTATACAGGTTTGTAGGCATATGTATGTTATACAGGTTTGTAGGCATTTATATGTTATACAGGTTTGTAGGCATATATATGTTATACAGGTTTGTAGGCATATATATGTTATACAGGTTTGTAGGCATATATATGTTATACAGGTTTGTAGGCATATATATGTTAAACAACCTTGATAGGCATATAGACAGGCACATAGATGATAGGACAAACATTTCTACACCTGTAGATCACAACGTACTTGTTTATAAGCATATAAATATTATATGGTAATGTACCATTCATTGGACTAGGTCATAGAGCATATGTGTAAACTTTGACGTGAGTTAACCGTTATCTTCACCTTGTGCACACAGTGTCACTGCGAATATTAGTGAAGAAAGAGTTGTCATGGAAACGAGTCTAAATATGTTTCACGCAAAGTTTTCACATGCCTTTATTTAATATAAAAGCCTATATTTGCCCAAAGAATAGAACTTGTTCACTACTACTATTTCAATACCGATTCCGAACGACAAGACATTGGTCCATTGTGATCGAATAGTCACTATACCGGGTCTTCACCCTCCGTGTACCCGGAAATGTAGTGAAATATGCATAACAGTGGTTAGTGCAATATACAAATTATTTACATTGCGCTAAATGACTGGGACTAATGTGTTTAATTTATCACAGGGGCAATAGATTGTCTATGTGCTAAACAAGAGATAAGCGTCACTACAGATGCGGGACAGTTGGT